ATAAACTGAAAGAAAAATTGCTCCATTTCCAAAATGAGATGAGTTCATCAGGGTGCAGGTTCAATTGTTGTCGAGAGGCAGGAGCCAATATGGTGGGATTAGTGAGTTTTTCCACCAGTCTGTGTCCAAATACAGCGGAACCTTACTTTATAAGATTTAAATGATACGTAATCTAATGAATATCCAACATTTGGATACAATCACAGCAGGTATACGCGCTGGCCGGACAGCAATGCTTTTATCAGCTTTAACAACAAACCTTTCCACTTGTTTAGAGTCGGAAAGGAGACATGGAGTTTTATTTCCCTGTAGTTGTGTTGTAGAGCATCTTCTCCGTCTGAACATCAGACTGATGAGACAAACAGGAAAGCAGGCATTAAGTCTTAGTACTTTTGGCACTGAGGGGCCCCTTTTGGCTTGTTGATAGTGGCTGCAAAAACTCCAGGAGAAGCAGAAGTGCTGCGGGTGTTTTTTTGTTTTTTTCGCCAACACAGAAGGCATCAGGCATCATTTTGAGACGAGACATTCCTGAGCCCAAAGAGCTGTGGGATAAGACTGGAGGGGAAAAACAAATAGCGCTGATACAAATGGACCTCTTGCAGCCAAAGGTCTAGAGCACTATTCCACTGTATAAGCCTGTAACACTTGGGTTGAGTACCACTTTCCTAATGCTCTGTGCGAGGGCCACAGAAACTACTCCCAGAATGTGTTCTCCCCAGATAACAACTAATGAGTTCACCACTATGGACCGCTACACGTACATGCAGTATCTCAAATGTCATGCCAACACACTTTTCGGTTTGCTTTCAGCCCTCATCTAAAGGAGCGAAGTGCATCATTTGACTGAAGTTTGCTTAGTCTAAAGGTCAGTATAGGTATTATTCTGTATATCTAGGCTGCTGCTGGAAACAGTTAGACACTTGATGCAATCAGATATCCTAAGATCACTCATGGAGCCCACTTTTATTGCTGCACCGTGATCATTTTTACAGATGGCTGTTGTTGTAGTTGTGTGGAAGGAGCAGTTGAAGGACACGTCTGCATCCTCCTCTTCTCTCCTCTCCTCTCCTCAAAACCTTCTTGAACCCTCTGGAGACCTTTTACACTAAATAATGGAGGCTCACATTACGTTGATCCACAGTGACATGGCTTTATGCAACGGACAATAGTGTCAGATCTCCGGAAAGCTGCACATGTTGCTTTAATAGTGTAGCATGCTTCCATATAATGCAAGAAAAGCAAATTGAATCAAGCAGAGCAGTTCTTCTGTCTACCCCAGGCTTTTGTATTTTTGTCATTATGAGCAGCAGCACTCTCGTTCCTTTTATTCACTGTTGGGATAATAATGGCTGACAGTGTGGAAAGCGTCGTCCTCCTCCCCAGCTCCCTACCATGCGCCCTCCTCATCCCTTCTAACCAAGCCAATAATGGCGACGCACAAGGCAGAGAGAGCTGGTAATGCTTCCCACATTTGGTGCCCACGAACCGGACTAAGTGTTACAGCGTTAAACCGCAGCGTGGGGAATTGAGCCGAGAGCGTAATACTCACTTAATCCCCAGCTGCCATGCCTGGTTAATTCCATAGATGTCGTCTCCATTAGACCTGAGGAGGGAGGGCCCCTGCCGGGAGAGTCAGGATGGCACTGGAGCTGTCAGCACGGTCTCCTATAGTTAGACCACGGGCCCTAGACGGCGGCCCTCGCTACACTGGGGCTTCGCAACAGGTGTTTTCACTATGAGCCTTTTCCTCTCTGCTGCGCCTCACTTTTTCTCTCTCCACTCTTTGCACAAGATAACGTTCGATTGAAGAAAAAAATGGCTGTAATTCTTTATCCCCTCTCAGTGTTGTCATCTTGCTGAGCGCCTACGCGTGACGTCTGGAAGACCTGATGCTTGTATTGTTCTCAGGGTTCTCTTCTTTCAGACACCCATTGGCAAACGCATGCCTTGAGTCTTTTTGAGTCATCTGTTATTTTTTACGAACATTTGTCTTACTGCGCTGTACTTTCTTTTCTTTTTTCTTTTTTCACAGTTGTAGCCGTTTCTTTTACAGGTGTGGGGTCGTAACCGTTCACAGGATGTTGGTGTCCGAGTGGGCAGTTTGCGATCGCAGTTTGTAGAGGCCTCGGGGTGCTTTCTTTACACACACGCTAAATTTCCTACGTGGCTGTAAGACATTATCACACTGGAAAATGGGCTTGCAGGACTGCAGGCGACTTCCAGACAACTCTGTGTGTATGCCTGTGTGTGCGTAGCCACAGCTTGGTGTTTACACTGTGTTTAATATGCTCATCTTTTTTTCCTTTGCTTTTTTGTGTTTCTGTTTCACTGCAAGGACGTTGAATCAAAGTGTCTGTGTGTTTGTGTACAAGAGAGAAGGAGTGAGAAATGCACATGCCTGTACATGCAAGTGCTGTTCTGGCAGTTTACCCAGTCGCAGCCTGGTGCTCAGCATCAGGAGGTGTGTGTGTGTGGAACTTCAGTAAGGAAACTTTAACTCCATACCCCAAGACACACAACGCTCTACTGCAGAAAAACATACCAGAACACTGCCACTACTACGCTCTCGTTCCAGGGAAATTCAAAACAGAGCTATTGTCAACCAATTTGATTTAATCTGTCAAACCATTTAAGGAGGTATTGGATGTCTGTGCCATCCGTATCATTCATTCCTTTCCTACTAGTAACCTTTATGCTTGGATCATCCATCTGACAAACATGTTGGTGTTCCAACATAGCTGAGGCTTTTCTTGACAAACTTCCTTCACTTAGACGGAACTTGAATCTTTCTTTAATTCTGGATCTCATTAATTTCCATCCCGTCGGTCTAATTCTCCATGAAGATGAGATGAGTTGTTGAGGGGGCTCGGTGAGGGATGGTGTGCTGCTTTCACCGGCATGAGGCTATAATTCATTTACCCTCAGGCAGCGCTGGAAGGGAGGGAAGTTGAATTGTCCTCATTATTTGGATGGAGTCATCGAGGACGATTTAAGTGAATTTGAGGTGCACCAGCTTACTGAGGGCCCTCTTCGGCTGAGCGATGGCAATTTATAGGAGCGAAACTCTGCACCTGCCTACCCTGTGGAAAGCTGCAGAGACTGGCCTTGGCCTGAGCTGCTGGGATGGCAGCTTGACAGACAGAATTAATGACTTTCATAGCATTACTTAAAGCCTAATTAGCCAGTAGTGTGTTTACACTATGATAAATGTCTGACCAGTGTGGCTTTTTGGGTTTGAACTTTAGACACTGACTGCTTGCTTTCAATAGGATATCACTAACATTAAACTCCTAATGTTTATTGTAATGATGTCAACCTTGTGGATATTAGTTACAGTTTGATGTCTTTACAGGAGAAATGCAGATGAGCGGTGTATGCTTTCCACTGTGTGGCAGAGGGTGGTGTGCGGGAGGCGGTGGGGGGCTGATGGTGCTGAATGAGTAGATTAACCACAGGAGAAATGGCACAGACAACGTGAGCCACAACTTGCCCGCAGTGGAACAAAGTCTGCCCTAAATGTTCACTGTAACACTATATTCAGGCGCGTGTGTACACTCCTACGTATGCACTCGCTGATGCAAAAACACTATTATTCTGCTCCGATGACTTACAGCGTGTTTCATTTGTAGCTCAGCATAGGTCTGCAGCTCCTTCCCCTATTAAGGGACTGTTTGGAAAAGAACAAGCAAGAGAAAAATGCTTTCTCTTTGCTGCTTGTCTGCGCAGCCCTACAGTGGTTTGAAAATGTTGTGGAAAGTATTAAGGGGGCGGGTATCAGGAGCTGTTTCAACTCTCTCTCAGGCCATAATTTTCATGCTGCCCTAATCATGCTTCTTGCGTCCTGTCTTTGAATTTATTAATTACTGATTTAAAACTGAATAATGAAAGAGAAGGTTGCTAACAACCCGTGGCAATAAGCAAAAATGGGATATTTGATGTCCTTGGTTCTGAAGATTTACCGCTTTTCAGCTTGGACCAACATCTGTCATAAATCTGAAACCATAGTCTGCAAATTAGAGGTAAATGTCTGCTTTTGATACTGTCATAGATCATCAGATCAAGGCGTGCACACTCTTGGATCGGCATGTTAGGGAGCCTTTGTGACAGAAGTCAGAGGACACGGTGCGCCATAATAAAATCGGAGATGACAGCTGTTGTAAAGCGACCTGCAGACACAAGGGCAACTGTTCCTTTGCAACCAACCAAAAAGCACTGAATGACACACACACATACACAGGCCTGCTATACACATACCGCATCTGTATCTAAAATTGCATCGTCAATGAATTGCAAATCAAAGCCTGACAGTTATGCGAGCGGCCATTAACCGGCTTGCGGTGAATTCGCGTACTGTCACAGTAAATTACAGGAAAAGAACATCTAGGTTCTTCAGTTTCACACAATGATCTCTAAGCAGAAATCTGGCCTTAAAAACCGCAAGATTCCAGACGGATCTGAAGGAACAACGATGATTCATTCCTATCTTGATTAAAATATAGTTATTGACAACAAATCCAATAAGGTTTTGCAGTGAGTAGCTTTTCACAAATGTGAAAGTCCTAAATCCTTACCAGAGACCCCAAGAGATAGAGGCGAGCACAAAAGAAGAAAATTAAAATCCACTACATGTCACCAGGGGAAAATGTGAGTAAAGTGTTTGAGTGTGATATCCAGGGAAACTGTTTGGCCGAGGGTTGCGCTGTACTTCTTTCACCTACAGCAAAGATAGCTGTCATAAAACCGAGCTGCACAATACAATATGAGGTCTTGGACATGGAGCTGTGTGGAGGTGTTTGCCAAGACACTGAAACAACCATAAATCGAAGTGCACAGCTGCGGCCCTATGTGTACATACAGTTGCATTGGAGTTTAGACACCCCTCATAGACACACTACTTGCTGACACAACCTTTTTTTTTTTTTTTTTTTTTTTTTTTATCTTTTATATGTTGAAACTGTAGATTGATGTGTTTCTTTCTGTCGTTTCATCCTGACCTCCAGCTGGGTTCAGAAGAAGCTTCCGTCTCAGCAGGAGAGACAAGAAGACCAACAAGTCCATGTACGAGTGTAAGAAGAGTGAAATGTACGACATGGCCGACGTCCCCACGTACGAGGAGGTCACCCCGTACCGCAGGCAGAGTGGAGCCAAACACAGGCTGGTGGTCCTCGTAGGTGAGTAGCGAGCTGAACTCTTAAAAAAGTTTATCAAAAAATGCAACTGTTGTTAGAATCTGATGTCACTGCTTACCTCACACTTTGTTTTGAGTCATTGCTGTTAAACTTGGCTCTGCGGAGACCATAGATTTTAATGAAAATCCTCACCTCACAGCGGGGTGACACACACACATCACACAAACGACTGTGACTCAGAGTTTTGTTGCTCCAGAAGCCCCAGGTGGCCCGGCCCTGGCCTCCTGTGACCCTCAACCCAGAAATGAGCTTCCCAAAGTGGGGACTCACCCGCAGCCTTCCACCTTAATTTAGGTTTTTAGCACTCAGTGGAATCGACGGAGCAGACCTCATATTAATCAGTCACATTCAGTACTTTCATTTACTGCACCTCACTCGCAATGTCCCTTCAATTTTTCGAGCCGATGGAATTGTTAACACTTGCCTGGAGGAGCGGGTGTTACAAAGCCCTCCAAAGAGCTTTATAACGTGCCAAGGTCTTGAAATGAATTTAGCGGTTTCTCATTCTGTATTTGTGGTTGGAAGACGAGTGTTGCCAGTGAATGGTGGAACAATATGCTAAGCCAGGTGCAACAGCAAAGACTTAAATCTTTCTCAGCACCAACTGTACCATCAGGGGGATCCAGGCTTTTCCACATTTTTCCTTTTTAGGTGTGTTACTTGTAACAAAAAATGACAAGAATGTCCCAGACACAGATGGAATAAAACATTCCCAAAATTTTCAGTGTGATTCCTTTTAATATTTCCATTCATCAAGGTAAGGGATGCACTCAAGGAATGAGTACTCAAACATCTGTTCTAGTCCTCAGCTTTTTATTTTAGATATTCCAGATGCATTTTTTTTTCTTTTTTTTTTTTTTTACAAGTTTGTGATGTTAATATAGAAATGAACACTACTGGCAACAAGGTGAACAGTGTCTCAGTCGTATTTCTTTGCTCTTTCCAGAGTTGTGCTCCGAGCCTGATTGACCAGGCCTTGGTTCGCATAAATACGCCACATAGAGCATGGACTTCATCACGCATGTTGTAATTAGCAAACTCATTTTCCTGCCAGCATGTCACAGCCTTAAACAGAGGATGCTGAGCCTCTCCCACCTGTCACGCTAATGTAAATATTTTCAATTAACTTCCATAATTTGGAGGACAACTTATGGACAGTTTCACACATAACGAAGTGGAGGGCCAAGGAAGGATCTGCTTTATGTTTCTCAGCCTCCCGCTCTCCTTGTTCTTCTCCCTGGAGTTACTTGATTTTTCTTATTAGAAAACATTTCTCTCTAGCCCGTTTTTTTCTTTTTTTTTTTTCTCAGCGTGCTCTGTCCTTTTTCTGTTTAGATGTGAGGCTGTTTTTACTCCTCAATGTAAGGTCGTGGGGGTTTAACACTTGAGAAAATCATTTCCTCCTGAAACTATCTGCTCTTCATGTCATGTCTTAACCCTCTGAACCACAAAGCCCGCCAGTCAGTTTAAAAGACATTCTTTTTTATCTATTTATTTATTTGTTTGTTTCAATGGCAAATTGCATTATAAAACGAAAGGAATGATTAGATTTTTACATTTCAGACGGTCCTTGAACTAATCATGTGTTGTACTGTCAGAAAACGTCACCAAATCTAAACTTAAAATCATCAAAATAGCTTTATTCTTGATGTCTCATTTCTAGATTCACCTAAAAAAAAATATTACACAAGATCCCATAAAGAAACAAAAATGTCTTTACTACTTGGCACAACTGAGAAGCTGCGACTGGCTCCGCTGCAAACAATAGACAGCAACCAAAATTCAGGACTATGTAGCTGAACTGAAGGCAAATTGAAAGATTCTAAAGTAAATAGAACATACTAGATCAATAAAATAAATGTGGGGTGGTTTAAAAACAGTATGCAGAGGAGCAAGTTTAAGATACATTAAGCATAATGAAAATATCTGTCTACAGTTGCAGAAGTTGTAAAACTGTAAGAGGTAAAATGTTTACAGTAAACCAAGTCACATAGTCTAAAGAAGTTCAATATGCACTCGTGGTGCTGTTTAAATTCTTAGTCATTTTTTAACAGTATGTCTTTGATTTCAGATGAAGGTAGACAACAGAATGTGTCTACCTTTGTTGGGTGAAATAAGGATAACGGTAACTCCATGAATTGATCTGAAAACCGTGTGCTTAGCTGACTTTTTAATGTTTCCAACTATCTCAGTTTAAGACAAGAACTCTGTAAATAGGTCCTACATATGGTCACGTCAAAACAGTCAGCCGCATAAAGACTAAAACTTCTTTGGTAAACTGATAGTGTCCAGGGCCGCCTTCCACACAGCTGGAAAATACTATACGGCACATATGCTAATTGTGAACAAGAACGTTTTGTTTTCTGATGTAATCTATATTATTAATGTAGGTAGTGAAAGATATGCTGTTTGTCCTTGCTTGCTACTGCAAGTGTACGGCTAATTTGCCAGATGAATGACTGTAACTTATGTCAGAGCACATAAATGTGCTGTTTAATTCATTCCTTCGACTTTTACCCTTGTGTTTTTGATTTTCAGAAGGCTAAAGAGTCTTTTATATCCAGAGTATTGTTCTTATTGCAGCTCATTTACAGCATTTAACATGTGGGGAGACTGAAGCTTAGCAGTGTTTTGGGGGAAAGGGTTTAGCAGAAGGTCAGTGTAATACTTCAGGAGTAAAGTCTGCATTATTGTAGGAATTGCAGACAGGACACAGCCCTCGATGCCTGACTTGGCTTCAGCTCTGCACTTTTTCCACTCTCCAGCACAGCACCTTCTCCCCACATTATTTTTATATCAAACATACGCCTCTCCAAAGGCTTTTTAGGAATACCTAAAGGCATTTCTTAATTAATGTCCACAGTGCCCACTCATGAATGACCTGCTGCCCACCTCGTGTACTTGCATTGAGCACTGGATGAATGGATCTGTTTCAAAGACAAATCAAGATGCTTATCTAGGTTTTTGTACATTTCTAATAAGACAGCCAATGTAAATATATATTTGAATACTGTATGCATAGTTTGACCAAACCACTGATGGTTTTGAAAGAAATCTGATTATTTAACCTGACAAAATGCTGTGTTGATTTCCACATTTCCCTGTAACTTGACACAACGAACTTACAGAAAGATTTTGATGAATTGAAGGTTTGTAGTTTGGGGTTTAGGCCTCGCGTATGTCAAACGCACTGATTCTAAAGAGAATGTTTATGTGGTATCCAACTATATATAAAGTTGGAGCTCCATATTAAGACTTTCCCCTGTTGAAAATCTGCATTGGAAATGATCTGCGGTTACCACGTTGTACCACTGTCATCCCTTAAATGTGGAAGCAGTAAAGCCAACGCTGCGTGTAGCGCTGTGATCTTGCCTGTCCTCGATGTGAGGCAGGCTCGGAGGTTTGAGGCTGGGTCGGGGCTCTGGGGCCCAGAGCGGTGCCTCGTCGGGCCCGGCCCCGGCCTCTCTGCACAGACTGCATGAGATGTGCTCCGCATTTGGCCTGGAAGTTATTAAGCTCACAATATTAAAGGCAGCTTCTCTAATGAGTGCAGTAATGAAGTCTGACACTTTTAGTGGCACAGCAATCTGGAACGACAGAGAGAGACAGATGGAGGGAGAGAAAAACACATAAACACAATGTAAATACTAGAGCTCAGTCCAGAAAATTTGCAAGAGTTATGCCTTTTTTTATTGTAGCGCTCAGATTTATAATGTTGCTGTTGTATTGGGGCATTGTTAAAAACAAACAATGCACAAAGAGGTGGCGTGTTTAAGGTCAGACGGTGGAACAGGACCACAGGGCACTGCTTCTGCTTGTAAAAGCCCCGGTGGCGGGCCTGTTGGGCCCCCTTGGCAGGCGGTGGTACAGCTGGAATAAGCTTTAATCGCCGTCTGAGGTATTCTGAAGAAGGTCTGCTGCCATGCTTCATTGATATCGCAAGTGGCAAGCAGGGGAGCGATGTACAAGGTGAAAATGGTTTTACGAGCGTGCAGAAGTGCGGCCGTTTTTCATGCCATGGGTAGCACACATAAGTCTGTTGGACCCGTGTGCCCGGCCCTGATGTCCACGCGCTGATTGAGGCAAACGCGCCTGTGTGGAGGTTTGTGGCCTGCTGGGCGGACTGTCTGCACCACTGTGATAGAGCTCATAAAAGAGCCTCTATTGCCACGCTCTGCCACCTTCAGCACCTACAACAACATTGGTCCACAGCCTTGTTCAAACAGCACCGCCGCATTCCTCCCGCGCTCCCGAAACAAATTCAAAATGAACTCCATTTCCTCATCTTAATAAATCAGCCAAGCTCTCGGCCCTCAGGTTCTCTGACTTTTTTTTCCTCTTACTGAAAAACTCCTTCTCCGCAGCTAAGATTGATTGCTGTCTTCACTTGGCCATGTACTTGTTTATGTGAGACTTTAACCACAAAATGCCTCACGCCGTCGGTCCAAAGAAGGTCGGGGTATTTTTCTGTCTTTTTTTTTTTTGTCTTTTTGAATTCACAGTAGAATCTGTGAGCACACTGAGGAAACAGCTTTTATCACTTACAGCAGTCGCACAATAGGACTCAAAACCATGTGTCGCTGGGTGCAGAAGGAGAGGGGAGGCATGGGGTGTGAATTTGTCTGTATGTGAAGGCTGCTAGTGTTCAGAGATTACACTTAAAAGAGCCTTGTTGTCCACACCTATTTATCAGGTACTGGATCTCTCCTGCTCACACTAGATGATATGTAGCGGCGCAGATAGCATGAGAGGAAACAGAAGCACTCTTTCTCCTGAGAGTTTGTCTTTTTCAAAGATTTTTTTTTTTTTCCTCTCGCTCCCTCTCCCTCTCTTTCCACCTAATCCGCATCGCTGAGTGAACTCATTGTCCATTTGTTTTAGAGGAGCGGCCTGCTAAACACATTTGCCTGGAGAAGCGAATTTCCAATAGGGTTTGATGCGATTGTAGTGCCTGCCCAGAACGTCAGGCATGCGAGGAATCTCGAGCCCAGATCAAGCGCTGTCTCTAACTGTCCACACACTGCAGAGCTGTGGTAAAACACTGAAATGCAGAGCCATGCACTTGTAACTCCAAAACTGATTTCTTGTCCAGTTTGTTGAAGACATTGATGCCAGTCAGTTCAAATTAAGATGATGTAGCACCCTGGTAACAACAACCAAAACACTGGAAAATGGCTTTGTGAGACAGAGGGAGTAGAAAATGAGACAGAGGAGCAAAAGAAAGAAGGAGAAGATGTAGCGAGCCCAGAAAACATTATGATTTTCATCCATTTTTTTTTATGTCATCCAACAAAAACCATTTTCAATAAGGGTCTAAAATAAAAAAGAATATAACAAAGCTGCCTTTGGATAACTGCATTTTTCAGGAACTCAGGACCTACATATGAATATGACATTTCTTCAAAATTGTTGCTGTAATTTTTGCATTATTATAAGAAATAATACCCATAATAATGGAACTTGGCTGTCTCCTCATGTTGGCCCTTGTTAAATGCTGGACAAACTCAGCTGTAGGAGGCTTTAATCAATAGTCAATACTCAATAGTCTCTCCTGCCTTCTGCACTCCCACTCATTTTCTCAGTTTCCCCACCAGGGATGTGATGGAAGGTCCAGCTGACCTGCTACAGTATTACGGGAAACCGCTGTTTTGGTTTTTTTTCGACCTTCACTGTGAACCTCTTTTGGAGCTTTATTGTTCTACCAAACTACAGCCCGAGAGGATCCAATTAGAAATGAACTATAACAGTAGATTGGGTGTATTAAATAAATTATCGCTGCTCAGAAGCATTTTATCCATTGTGTTTTCATCAATTATGAGATTAAATTCACATTGTGAGAATTAATTGGATATTTCTTAGCAAAAACACACTCCGAGGGGACGTGTAAACTGCCAAGTTACACAGTTTTTCAGAGCCAGAAACTGTAAAAACAGAAAGAATTGGTGCATTTTCAACTTTCCAACTGTCCTTGAACTAATCACGTGTGAATATTAAAGCATATTTCATCAGACTTACTTTATTCTACAGCCTTCATTTAAATATGCACAAAAACTTAACTGATGGAGTCAAATCCTAGAACAAAAACTATTCTGCACGACTCCATACAACTGCAGGCTATAGTAACCTGAACCAGGTCGGAGACAAGTACAGAAACACATTAGAGAGACTGAGAGCAAACTCAAACATGCTTGATCAACACAATAAATCAAGATCAAAAAACAGTAGAAAGAGGCACAAGTTGTCTGCAAGTTGTTGGAGGATACATTCGACATGGTGGAATGTGTTGTTAGAGTTGATAAGCAGAGGACTGTAAGAAATACCTCGTTCATAAAGGCTGAAAAACAAAAACCTGTAAATAGTAAAGTATCTATAGTATGCGGATCCTGCTGGTAGCACCTGGGAGCACTTGGAAAAATATTGCACACTTTGTTTTCATTTTTTTCTTTTCAAAGAAACTCAACTTTCATGTTTTTCTCTTTCTATAATTTATGGCTTTTTGTTCAACTGCACAAAAGACATTTTTTTTAGTTCTCTCTATTTGTAGCCATAGCTGTGCTGTTTCCATAGAGATGCAGGCCTTACATTGCAGTCAACAATGAGCGCGCAGTCAGAAAAAATGTGACAGAAGCAGAAAAAAGCAGAAACTGCTTGGGGTTTACAGGGTTTAAGTGTATTTTGAATTCTCTCTCTTAAGAGCCACAACGTTATGGAGAGTGTCGGTTAGTTAGTTTTTATACGGCATGGTTGGTGATACATTTTGTGTGATTATAATTTATTAAAAAGTCATTTGTGCTGTGTGTGTTCAGAGATATACAGGTTGGTTATGACATTATGAATAGCAGTTGCTAATAACTGTGTTGTTGGCTCTATTGGCACAGTGTAGCAGTGACACAGCATGGACAATAGCAGCTAAATGGTCATCCATCGCTCATTATTTTACTCCTTCACTTTTCCTACTGTGACATGTCAAAATGGCTCATTCCAAGTAACATTATAAATACATTTTCTTCATAAGAAATTGGGCATTGTTTCTCTGGTGTGATTGGCAAGAGGCTGTGATGGATTCTATAAATTAAGTGTGTGTTCTTGTCTTTGTGTAGGACCCACTGGTGTCGGCATGAATGAACTCAAGAGGAAACTGTTGATCTCTGACCCTCAGCACTTCAGTGTGACCATCCCACGTAAGTTCACTGCACTCCTCTCCGTAAAGTCTCTGTGTTAAAGCTCACGTCCAACATCAGCGACGCATCTTCCAGTAGATTCTATTTGTGTTCCAAGTCTTTACTTTCATCCTTCTAATCTGTCTATGTTTAGGTTTTGTGTTTTCACTCCCAAACAAATCCAGACCACAGTTTAGGCTCTGCTATTTATTGGCAAATAGATTTTAATGGGAATGAAGACACTGTTTGGCTTCCTCCACATCCTGCACTGACACTGGTTTATAAGCAGACCAGATGGACTGTGGGAGAAACAGCTGTGGAGGGGCACTCTGCTGGCTTTGGCCAGTTAAGGCGATGACCATGAACCGCAGAGCCCCCAGTTTGCCTCCTCCGTCACTCCTCATCACTCTCTCTTTGTTTCAGTATAGAGATTTTTAATTACATCATGTGTGTGTCATCCTCAGAAAGGTTATCCTCCGTTCAAAAGTTTAATTAGACTTATTTTGCAGCAATAAAATCACCGTTATCTATTTGCTTTTCGTGTTTTTTTCCATGTTAGCGCTGCAGTAACAATTGTTTTCATTGTTAATTAATTTATTAATTGTTTTTTCAATAAATCATTTAGTCGTAAATTTAAATGTCACAGAGGAGTAAAGGAACCAGAAGCTAGGAGGATTGTAAATACACACTTTCTGTCCTAAAGCATTATTCAGATCACTTCATTGATTAACAAAACTATCTGGCAATTAATTGGATACTACAGTAGAGTCTATTTTTTTTAACAGCAGAAAAATCCATCCATCCATCATCTATACACCGCTTAATCCTCACTGGGGTCGTGGGGGGCTGGAGTCTATCCCAGCTGACTTAGGGTGAAGGCAGGGGACACCCTGGACAGGTCGCCAGTCTATCACAGGGCCAGCAGAAAAATATAAAATGTAAAACTTCTATAACCAAGCTGTGTTTCTGTATTTTGTAAGTAGAGTTTGTTTTTATTTCCCTGCTGAGAAACAAACATGCCTGGCTGTAAAGTGAGCCCGCTGTATTAATGATGCAACTGCAGCACTTATTGGTGTAAACATCTAAAGTGCTTCTAAGGTTTAATAAGCAAATTTAAAAGGAAGTTGATGTCAAAACAAAAACGTCCGCTGCATTTCCCGCATTTGTCTGTGAGGTTTGGTTGACCTGCGGTTGTGCGGACGCTAAAGAGCTGCCTCTACAGCTGTGTTGTCATGGAGATTAGTTGCCTCCTACTCCCCTCTTCTTATCCATTTGCGCCTCTTGTGCATCTGTCCGGTGAGACAAACACATTGGAAACACATTCTGAGAGAAATGTAAGCCCGCCCCGGTGCAGCCGGCAACAAATCAAAATAATCACTTCAGGTGACGGATGTTTAGTTTACTTGTTCCAGTTTGGTTCGCTTGCACTGTTTAAGTAATGAAGGTCCAGTGTGAGACCTAAGCACACACACGTCTGGCAGTAACACCCAAAGCAGCTCTCAGGCAACACGACTGGTCCCGTGGAGGCCCGGGCGCTTGGTTCTCCTCCTGTGTAATTGTCAGCTTTTCACAGTCTGTCTGACAAGCTCCAAATGATGGAGGAAACTGTGTTTTTCTACCTCCTGAAGACATGCCATTCCACTGCTTCACAAACTGGCACCAAGCTCCCCGCTCTACTTTCTTTCTCAGTTTATTTCTCATTTTCTTTCTGTCTCTTTCCTCAGCTGCCTCCTCCCTTTTTTTTCCTTTTAAGGACCCAACGACAGCTCGCCATAATTCTGAACGCCGTCCAGCTCTGCTGCAAACGACTGGATCTCCATACTTTGCCAGGAGTTTTTGGTTTTTTTCTAGCTTTGAGATGTCCCAAAGCCAGCATGTTGGGACAAATAAATCTTTTTGATTCATACATTTAAACAGGGCAACGGCACTATTAATTGCGTAGTTACCATCTGGGGCTTGGAGGGAAACTGCGACACGAGTTTTAGGAAATATGAGGACCACAGATATTAATTGCCGTGTTTGTTACATGCCGTGTGGCATAATAGATGTGTCCCAGGCGAAGTCTGACACTTGAAATGTCCCTGGTATTAAAATCCCATTGGTAGGGGCATTTTTTTCCACAAGGCTTGTTAATTGTTCTCAAATGTGACCTGCGATGCTGTTGTTTAATAGAGCCCAGACAGTCTGATTCAGACCTATATAGAAGACGTATGGCACAAGTCCTGGCTCTCATTGAGAGGAAAGAGACTCGGAAAGTATCTCGTCTCCCTCTTTTTTAGACTTTGATTGCTGCCAATGGACACATGGATGTGTTTAACACTTGCTGTTGTTTCAGATTAAGCCCGAAAGCGTTACCCCTTTTTGTTAATTTGAAAACCGGAGCTTGGGAGACCACCAGCTTGTGGCCCTGGTTACGTTTTTTTCTCTGTCTCTCTCTGCTTGTCGCTGTAAAATGTAAACCAGCCGTCTAAGAAACACAAGGAGCATTGCAATAAGCCATTAGAGTTGGGGGTTAAACATTTTGATTCCAATCCAAGCTTACAGATATTTTCCATGATTTGCGAATGAACGGATTCACATTCTTTTGTTGCACTGTAATTATTTTCTTTGCCACAAAACAGATGCCAAAATAATGCATGGTGGATGGTGTTGGTCTAACTACTGAAAGGCTGTTTGGCACCGTGTCTTACACATTTGTGAATGGGAGATATAAGTATATGTTATCTTATGACAAGGCCGTTCTGGCCTTCTCCTTATGTTTTCCTACTGTTGTCTGGGCCTGACGACAGAAAGTCATTGATCTTCTTCAGTGTCTTGTCCACCACAGTTGGATTTATGACTGTCTTCCCTTCCTAAGCAAGCGACACATTGTATAAATGACACCACTAGTTTTCCATGAACCCTGTAGATCAGTCTGGACTGTATAAAGGAAAAGCACTGGTCCATTACGAGGGCACAGCCTCAACACATGCTGACGAAAAGAACAGCTCCGAGGAGAGTAAAGCAGAACTTGGCAGTTTTGGCTGCAGGTGATAAAAGTTTAATAGTTTGTTTTGGAGCTGGTCAGAGTGTCTGACGGGTGTAAACCTCTCCCCTCTGACCTTTGAAGCGCTCCTGAAAGGAGCCGGAGTGTGAGTCGACCCCTTGACCTTTACAAATCCACTAGCGCTGCTCGCTCACGTTCCCTCCACGTGCCGCCCTCACCGCCCATTTTACAGCGAGGTTTTATGGTTTATGGCCAAGTAAATGCAGAGACTTGATGTTAATGAGAGCTCCCAAACTCAATTACCTTACAGCTGCTAACATCGGTGGCTAACGCTGTTGCTTCTGTTCCTACAGGCATTGTAGCCACATTACAAGAGACAAATTTAATAAGACACAGTAAACCTCTGCTGAATCTCAGTTAAGTGTCTGAGTTTGGTTCTGCAGCACAACAGGTTATGTATTTTATTGCATCATTACACAATAATATATACAAGGGTTGGCATGACCCATCTTGCTGTGTTTCAGACTACTAATATTGTTAATAAGAGGCTCAGTTCAGATGGTTTCTGCCCCAACAGTGAGTCAGACAGTCTGGGTTTGATATAATCACTCCCTCTCTCTCTCTGTCTTTGCCTCTGTTTCTCTCTCAGACACCAGTCGGGCCAAAAGGAACCAGGAGAATGACGGCGTTGAGTACCACTTCATCTCCAAACATCTTTTTGAGACCGACATCCACAACAACAAGTAAGCAAAACTGTGACTGGTACAAGTAAGAGCTTCGTCTTTCACTGCTCATGCAGTGGAGATATTCACTGGGTCAAAATGTACAACTTAAAAAACATACAACCTGCCTCTGCAGCGCTTTGTGAACACTCAATTACTGGTTGAGTTCAAGGTGAATACAGCAAAGTTCGAGCAAGTGAAAATCAGGATGCACAACTCTTTTTTCATTTACCTTAGTTATTCTCCCACACCTTAAATGTATGTATGAGGTGCAATTAAAATGTTCAGTCTTTGTAGAGTGATGTGTAGTGATACAACACCGCTGGCTCTTTCACTCAAGACTGCTGTTCGATCTCAGTGTCGTAGCTCATAGACTCAGCTCTCATCACCAGCCATGAGCCGCCACATGAGGGTCCCATCGTGTCTGGCCTGATGACGGAGATTCTTGCAGATATCGCTGCTTCTGCAGGTTCACTGTGAATTTGCAAATATGCACCTGCAGCTGATTGTAAAAATCGTGTAACGCAGGTCCCAAAGTTTGCACAATGTCACATGGAAACCTGATGTACAAGAGATGCAGCCTTCATCTGTTGCATGTGCATGACTGTACGCTCCATTCGTGCACAGTGGGAATAAAATGGGAAATCTTTGATGGCACACTCTATATCCATTGTACCAAGGTATTTTAATCATTCGTTGAGAGACTTGCTCTTCAACTTTTCACTGATAGCATAGAAAAAAAAAATTTCTCTTTCCAAAATAAAATTACTCGTGTCATTCTACGATATTAAGCAATATTCATAAATCATTCATAATATGTTCGAATCATATGTTGGTGTTTTTTTTTTAAAACTCATTCACAGACTTACTTACTTCATGTCATGAGTTTTGATCAAAATTTCCTTAAATATTGTTTATTTTGATTTAGCTAGCACGCCATATTAATTTTGTACAACTTAATTCTCAATATATTAATATTAATTTTTTGTATAGAGTTATGATTTTATTCCAGTCCATTAAATTTTCTCAAAATTTAATTCCCAAAGTTTTTATCTTTTTGTCTGAGAGTGTCTTAAAGTATTATCATTTCTGTGACTTACATTTTAATTTAGTTGGTTTTTTGTTGTTGTTGTTATTGATCGATAAATGAATTCACTTACAGGAATATAAAAAAGATCAACACAGAAAGCAAAAACCCTCACACTGGAGGAGTTTTAACAAGTAAATGTGACTTTATGCTGTGTAATTGACTTAAAACAACTCCTCGCTTTAACTAATAATTAGAATTAGAATAAAACTTTATTAATCCCTTCGTTACCTCAGACCTCAGGGAAATTGCTAATAATGGACTCATCTTTCAGCTCCTATCACTGCAGCTGCACACATTTCATCATAGTGGTGAATGTAGTTTTTCGGACCCTAAGCCTCAAATTTTTACCTAATAAAAACAACGGTCCAGCTCAATCTGTGCTCTTGACCACTAGGGGCAGCATAACAGTGAGAGCAGCAGTCCAGTGCTTGCTGCCACTGTTCAAATACAGCCTCCCCGCTGTCGTCTGTATGTCTCTCTAACTGAGTGTGAGCTGGTGTTGACAGGGCCGGGCCCTTTGCTGGTAACAGATCTCCAGACAGTGGCCCCGAGGTCTCCTGTCTCTGCTTCCTCCTTTCCTTAGGCGCTCTCTCTGAATGCAGCCACACTACGGCCCGCCTTGACATTTGTGGCCAACAAATTGAAATGCAAGTTGTAATAGTCATAAGAATGATTGATGCCTTTCTGCCGGTCTCACACGAGCTGGAGGGCGAAAAAAAAAAAAGATACGCTACAGGGTGCACTTGCAAAACAGTTACGCACGCAAACACACATGCATTACATATGACATAGAGGGAAAGTCTGTGGCAGTGAGTGCATGTAGTGTCAGAGCATACACAGAGACGACGGGAAAGGGGGGGCTGTATATTTAGGCCATGTTGCGGTGTAGGTCGAGGCATGCAATGTTTTTCAGGGAGTCGGAGGGGTGAGTGACAGAGCTGTGATGTGGGGTGGATGCGTGGGACACTCCACGCTGAAATTACAAGGCAGCAAAGTAGAGGAGGAGTGTGATGAACTTGTTTGCGTTATGCCTCATTGCATGCAGCAGAAACAATGCACTGTGCACAGAAATAAGAGGTTCTCTGAACTGGGGCCACAACAACGTGTGTTTAGCTTGAACAACTTTCCCAAGGGAAGCCCTGTTCTGTGTCAAAATGGCAACAATCCATACTCTCAATATAGCCAAACCTCCACTGGCATACTTTGCTGTAATCTATATACCTTCCCCTCCGATGACAAACAGCACAGAATGCTGCAAGGTGTGAGTTTTTTGGACGCAAGCTACTGTAAGCTCTTAAATGAATTTCCCATAACCGTATATGAGGTTTGTTAGAGACTTAAAACTTTCTTACATGGGCAATTACCATAAAACTTTCTTTTTACATGGCATCAGTCACACTGAGGCAGTCATTCTGTCCGACACTCATCATGAGCAGACTGTAAGCATACCACGCCGTCCTATTAGCTTCAAATTCTTTCCACGTTGTTACTCTCGTCTCTTTTTTCCTCCTTGTTTCCAGCTAAAAATACTCCGGTGGCTGTTGGTGTGAAAGAGAAAAGATTATCCGGTGGAAAAGTGTTTGTTTGCTTGCACCCATGCAGTTGCTTGCTAAGCTAAAACCCCCGTGGATTAAGGCAGGGAAGGTTTTGGCATTTAGGGGCTTTGTGGTCTTTCTGGAACAAACAGGTGTTACTGATTGAAAGGGTAGCGCAGGAGATTATATAAAAACACGCTCGGCCAGAGCGTCTGGTTTTTAAGTTCTGCTAAAGAATGCTATCTTCAGATCTGTCAGCGGTTGAAAGAGTAATCCTTGTGTCCCTGTGGATTTGTAGGGTTTTTATATATCATTATTTCTAAGATGAATCTCAGGAGTGTGCTGACACAGTCGACCAGATTAGGACGAGATTCTAATGTTTCTCTCGAGAGATGTTAGTGTTGCATTAGATTCAAATCCCTTCACAAAGAATGATTAAAAAAAAAGGTGTTTTCTTGCCCTGCAATCTTCTCATCTCCCCTCTTTTCATCTCGTCTCTCAGGTTCATTGAGTATGGGGAGTACAAAGGGAATTACTACGGGACAAGTCTGGACTCGATACGCTCCGTCCTCTCCAAGAACAAAGTGTGCCTATTGGATGTCCAGCCTCATGTGAGTGACACGAACCTCTGCATCCCATTCTCTCTCGCTGTCCCTCACTTCTCTGTGTTTTCAGCTATTTGGCACCTCTACGCTCTCCTATCTCAGATCTCTCTCTTTGCCTGCTTTCCTAAAGGCCTTGGCTGTTTGCTGAGTTACAAAAGCAGGCTTCTCATTTTTGAGGGAGCAATTACAGCTAATTTGCTCTATTTGAAGATTTCCTCTTTGGCTTTTGTGTCTTGGGTGGCGGCGATCAGACCCTACACAAATGGCCGGCTTGACGCTGAGCCCCGACAAACCCCTTAGCATGATTCCCATTAATCTGGGGCTGGACCCGTATCTTCCATCCTCTGCCCCACCAGCTCCTTTCTGTTTTTTATTGTTCAGTGGGTAATGACACACAGGCACAAATGCACCATTATATAGATTAGCCTGGCAGCTCCTCAAACCATCCCAGCCTGAGCAGCGATGGGTAGACAGAGTCTGTGGAAGCTCATGTGGTTGTAGGTACATCTCGGTATGTGTTTTTTGTTTTTGGTGTGCATTCGTGGTGGTGTGTCAGCCAGTAGTCATTCCACACACTTCCACTGTAGCCTCATTCTCCAGCAGCAGTCATGAATCAGATCAGAGGCAGTGTCAAAGCATGTTATTGCCCCCATGCTGACTCACTAAGTGACTGATGAAAGCAGAGATAAATGCTTCCCAGAGGTTTGTCTGCTGCCCCTACTTTGGGTTTTTATCCATCTTCCTATCAGTTGATGGTTTGGACCCACTTCCTGTTAGTACAGAGAGGAGCGGCGATCACAGTGCCAGAACCAGAAGAAGCCTGGCACCACCACTAACCCAATCTGCCCTCTTCACTGTCTCCTAACAACCACCGGTGGAGTTATTTTTATTCAATTTCTTCCAAATGGTGTCATTTTTAGAGGATCCCAATTAAGAGCAAAGTTTAAAGACCACCTTTGGGGGAAATCAGGTTTTTTTTACCTTGTCATCATGCACATGTGATGTTTTTATTTTCTGAAAGACACCTCATGATAGAAATAAACAGTTCAGGCCATGGTTGAGTATTTCCACCTTAAAACCACATTGTACTGATTCAGACAGCCACAGCTTCATACATAACAATCTGGGGCGATAGGGTGATACGGCCAAAAATATTTGTCACGATATAAATGAGAAGATTTGCAATAACAATATAACTGACGATATAATTGATGCTGGACAAAATACTTCAAAACTGCACAACTTTATTGGCGCAAATAAAAACAAAAAGACAATTTTTTTTTCATTTAGCAAGCAGCTGTTTTTGATGTGCATTACAGCTTTATTGTACCAAAATCAATAGTGCGTAAGTTGAAAATTGCTAACTGACAATTTGTTTCATCAAAAGGCATTTCAAATGGAAATGGGCTGACAAATCCTGAGCATAACAATACATAGTATCCACAAAAGTAGCTTTATAGCAGCGAGGGAATATTCAGACCGATGGGGTGGAAGTAGGCGGGACGCACAGGCAGGACTTGGCTGCTAATGCCAGTTTAGGATAGTGGTCACAGTTCTGTTTTCACCATCGGGTGACAGCAGTGGCGGGGGAGGGTAGCAGCGGGTGACAGGCGAATATTCGGATCTCTAAATTGCTATGCAGACACCACCACAACAACCGAATATTACAATATTCGGGTCCAGCCTTACTGTGTCGGTCAATACGCTGCGTTCGCCCTCCTCCTCAGTCGCCACCATGCTTGTCGCTCCATGTGCATTAGACCAGACGAAAACAACGACACTGCGCATGTGCGTTTCACTCAAATTCTATCGCGATATTTCAATTTCATATCATCATGGTAAATGGTTATTAAATGACTTTAGCATTTCTAGTTTGATCTTTCACTCTCGGTTTGTTGCCAAGTGGTGACTTTTCACTCTCTTCCATCTTGTCTACATTCACATTTGTTCTCCTTTCAGACAATAAAGCACCTGCGGACAGCAGAGTTTAAACCCTTCGTTGTGTTCGTGAAGCCGCCGACGCTCGAGAGACTGAGGGAAACCAGAAAGAACGCCAAAATCATATCAGGCAAAGATGACAAGGGAACCGCCAAACCTTTCATGGTAGGATGGGCAGAAGGTTTTTCTTAATTAGTTTTTTTTTTTAACAGAATCCTATTAGAATCTGCTCAATGTAATCTGTTGTTGAGTAACACTGGATGGGTCCCGTTTGCTTTAAATTACACAATCACAATAAATACCTTCAGTAAACAGCTAACTATCACTTTGAGCTCCAACTGGTCTCCCAAACTGGATAGTGTTTTTAAATGCTAATTAACTTAAATGAAAGTTTAATGACCACTATGGGGAAATTGGATCATTACAGCACAAAATTACAGGATGCAGCTAATAAGGTGTACAGTGGGTAGACAGGAGATATTAAACGTACATTCAGGCAGACGTTTAGTGGGGGTCTACACATATTTAATGACAGTTTTGCGGTCAAGAATTGTAAACCTGGAATGACTACATAAGAAGCACATGACAGAAGTCAGTGAGCTTGAACGATAAAGCTGAGTCTGGGGATGAGACGCTGCTATTCTGTAGAAAACACACTTAACACATTATCAGCACACAAAATAACAGAAACGCAATCTGGACCCTGTGTGTACAACTTGTGTGTTTGTGTGAGTGATGAGGTCATCCCTTACACACCTTTATCCCGGCCCAGCAGGGACACAGATGAAACCAATTAGCCAGTGTGCTGTGAAGTTGACGGGTGGGGGAGTGGAGGGGGTGGGAGTGTGAAGGTGGATGATGGTTTTCCCAGCCCCATCGGGCCCGAGGCTTTCACGCTCGCGTGTCTCACTCACCACGGGCAGCGTTAAGGCCAAGATCCCAGCCAGCAACACGGCCGGGATGGCCTGATGGGACACCAGGAGGCGAGAAACATTAGGAGCGAGGGAGGCAGAGAGGGAGGCTGTCAAAGAGATGGAGACTGACAGCAGTGTGGAGCAGAGGGGGAGGCGCTGGGACGTGAACTAGCGTCTGCAGGTGTAGCATGCTGGGAAATGTGTGACACTTTGTGTAGCTGGTGTATCATTTTTATGTTTTTTTGTTTTGTTTTTTTAGAAAACCTGTGTAAAGAACAAAGACAACGGGACTTTTATAATCCTAACCTACACAGTCTCTTAAAGTCACCACAAACTTTTAAATGTTCCTGCCTTTTTTCACGTTTTTTCAAATCAAGCTGCTTTTCACTTCAGAAGTAAACCCGACTCTCACTTAAGGACGGAAACACACCGGATATGTGAGAAGCATAGAGCTTCCAACTCCTATTCATTTTCTATGGGAAGCAGCAAGTCTCATAGGCAGGCAGTGGGTAGGGTTATTCATATATTTATTGTGAGTAAATATTGATTGCAGCTTTTGTTATCCTGCAATAACGTTCCAAATGAAATGCAGCAACAAAGATGAACTTATCTGTAACGTAACTATATTTTGAGTGAAGCATTGATGATCTGTGGTGAAAGTGTCATCCAGTCGAGGTGGCCTGGCTAACTTTTGGACCCAAACCAGGATGAAGATTTGGGAATTCCCAAACCTGACCTGCCTAAACCCCTTCACAGCAAGAGGCTCAGCGACAGTGAGACCTAATTTAAAACGATCTGAAGATAATAAGAGTCTGGCAGCAGCATGATGGACCACCAGTTGTGCACCACATGCTCAGAGCTGATAGTAAGTCCACTCAGATTCGCTCGGTTATTACACGTGTTGACACAACTAACAGAGGCTTATGGCAAAACAAGTTACTTTTTGAAAAAAAAAAGGTGAATTCCCACAAAACATATCACCTCTGCAACGACTTATTACAAAGTCAACTCATATCAATCAAAACAATCAGACAGAAAGATATTAACATAGACAACTTAAATGCGACTTAAATGCAAAAAGCTGGATGAGTCTTTCTCTGCGTAACACACGACAATAACATGTTTTTCACATAAAACACACAGGTCAATGGTAAAAAGCGGATTTTGGGATTTAGAGGCAGGTTAGGTTTGTTTAACAGGACACTTACCAAGAAGACCCGACATCCAGGTCCTCATTCATCCCCAAACCTGCAAGTCTCTAATCCAGTTATGCAGCAGGCTTCATGTTTCAGGAGGGCTGCCTGCTCCACCGGAAAATTCAACTTTCTCAGTTCCAATTTAAAATTCCTCAGTTTAAGTTCTCTTTAGAAAACCCTTGTTTACATTATTACTACATATAACATATACGCATGTCATTTAGGAGGTTTTAACTGTCCTGAAAAAGAACTTAACCACAGCTGTTGTCTGTCGTGCATTTATTAGCAGCATCGTGGGCTGAATTTAATCACTGCGTCATTTTCTAACTGATGTGTCTTAGAAAAGGTCCTTATGACATAAATGTTGACTTTTTTGTAAATCAGTGCTGAGGTGAAAGTTGTGTGGGGGTGTAGCCGTCTCGCTACCTCTGTGGGTTCTCCCAGCACAGACACACGAATTGCCGTTGGTCCACAGTCTTTTATTTACCGTACGGCGCAAAACCCAGCACAAAACAAAGAAACAACATAAAGCGGCCACGTGTCTGCAGCAGCCCGGCTCCTGCAGCACGCGCTCTCCAGTCAGCGTCTTTTATCTTCCCAGCGTAGGCAGAGTTCCTCCTCCTTGGCCTTCTTTCTCTTCTGAGGGCCAGCACCCTACTATGTGCACAAGCATATCCACAATTAGGCAGAGCAGCAGCACCTGGACCCATCAACTCACCTGACACTAATCTCCTGAGCTCTGCCCCACACCTCTCCCCCCTGCCATTTGCTGCCAATTACACCCATCTCCACAGGGGGATTTGACTTTTACTCAATAAGCTAGATGTCGGGGGGGATTTGACCACCTGCACCACAAAGGAGAAGAAGCAAGTGATGTGCATGTTGCCTCCTAATCACGGATAACACAGGACTCCTCCTGAATAGGCAGAATTTAATTCAGACATGTGAACTATACGCTGGAGAACCCCAACTGGTCTGTGACTCTTTGATTAATCCCTCATGTCCCGTCTCAAAAGGAATTGTATTAAGAAAATACATGGAGCCCAGAAACTTTGGGTCGAATGAAAAGAATGCGAAAAGGAAACATCAGGACAGTTCACAAGATCACAAAAAGAAAAAGCAGAACAAGTGAACCTACAATCAGCCATATCAGACCACTGCAAATGAAACGACCACATCGTGGACTGGGACAAAGATCATCGGATCGGAGAGCAACAAATTTAAACGTTGGCTCAAGGAGGCCATAGAAATCAGGAGGCGAGCCAAAGACACCATGAATCGTGATGAGGGGGCATTCATGCTGTCCCACACATGGGACGCTCTCCTGCAGAGCCCACCGGGCTGCAGGAGGCGTGGCCCGTCGGGCAAATCTGACAGATTGCCAGGAGGGTCCACAGACATCAGTGACGTTTCTGAGGAAGACTGAAGTGCCAGATGAAACATGTCAAAGTGAAAACAGCTCCTATCTAAAAAAAAAAATACTCATTGTCTGATAAAAAAAGAAACCTTTTACCTATAATCAGAGTAGACAAAACGAATCTAATCACGCTTTTATGTAGCTCATCCTGAGTTCAAACAAAATGAGTAAAAGTCTGTTTTCTCCTCAAAAAGGTATCATGTCACGCATGTAGCTGGATCAGTATTAATGGTCAGTTCAAACATACATCCTGTAGATATTTATCTTCACTGTCAAACCTTTTAAACTGAAGTGTATTTTCACTTTAGAAAAGAGAAACTCAGAATTTAGAAAAAAATAACTTCAAAAAAATAGTTTTTACATTTGCTTGAGGTGGATTTTGACTCTTTTTTTTAACAAGACTTAATGTGCTTCCTTTGAGATGGTTGGAGAAAAGCCATCTATATGTTACTGTTTTCTAAATTCTGTTGTCTACAGGTAACAACAACAACAACAACAACAACAACAGCCTCCAAGCAGCAGCAATACATGCTGAAAATGCCAAGTGTTCCTGAAGATTTGGCAGACCAGCTTGGTTCTTTCAGTAAATAGTAATAAAGATACGCAAGCAATATATTTCAAACATTTACTGTCTAGCTGGCACGTTTTTGCATGTTTGCCCACCAGTTATGTAAAAACTTTTATTTTCCAAACATGTTGCCCTTAAAAAAAACCCACTGTTTTGCAGGAGCACCATCCTCTGTTTCTGTTATTGGTTTAAAGAAAGCAAATGCATTATTTCCTCCTATAGCAGAGTAATAACAAGTGCAGCCAAACCATTGTCTGGCACCAACTCAGTGCTGTGGAGGTAGTTCAGACCGTACAAGACTAATACAGACACAACGTCAGCTTGCATTATTCACACAGGTAAATATAATTTGGCCTCAGTCTGCTCCTCATTTCCCCGCTGGATTGCCTTGGAACAATGAGCTTTGGTTGTCAGAAACAAGCTGATTGCTAACAATCCATTGCTGTTGCTGTTATTACTCACTGTCCCTTTACTAGCTTCTGTTATTCTCTGAAGTAATACAAATACAGCTCCATAAAACTGTGTGACAGGGAGGCATATTTCAGCCGGGTAACAAACCGGGTTCTGTGTAAATGTTCATGAGCCGGACAACCGCCCCAGATTTGCTATTGGAGGCTCTGAAGGGGAAGCTGTTGTTGTGAGTTGTCTCAGACGTATTCTGTCCACGGCCAGCTGTATTTCTTTCTGAGTGAGACAGGTCTGCTTTAATGTTGAAAGCTGAGGAACAGTCGGCTCATTGTTTCAGGCTGACTTTAGGCCCATTGTTTGAGATGGAGATGATTCGGGGTAGGTTTTCAAGAACGGTCACTGAACGCTTGACGTGGAAACAAGCAAAAAAAAAAAAAAAGCAAAGCTGTGAAACGGTACAATATCTGAAATGACCACAGTAATTTAAACCTGATTTGTAAAGATCTGTTTGGTTTTCAACACTTGTTTCAATAGAGAGGACAGGTGTGTTTTAATAGCACAGTAAAGCAGGTGTCCCGCTGAGATGTGGCGTGTGTGGTGGTCTTAAAAGATGACACATGTGGTTTTGTGCCACGAAAGTGCTGAAAAGCTTTATAGTCCCCGTAAGGAGACTTTTCTTTACTGTTCAGAGTTTACAGCAAAAAGCCCACAATAAAATCAAAAAAATATCATAAATACAACAAAGAAAGCAATAAAAAAAAAAAAAATGCAGACCAAGAAATCATGACATCAGTCGAAATCTGTAACAAGGAGAAGCAACAGTGGTAAAAACCAAACGGAGAGTCAGCGGCCTCATATTGTGCAATGAAAACAGCCATTTATCTGGACAAAGTACTTCAACAGGCACAAGACGCTTCCATCATTTCATGTGGAAATTAAGCAATCTGATGGCAGTGGGGATAAATGAGTCCCGGGTGCTTTCCTTCTCGAGTTTGGCCCTCCAGAAGTGGCATCAGCTCAAACTGCCCTCGGAGGAGAGCGGTCCAGCACGAATCGCCGGATGCCAAAGAATATCCAGCTCTCCCAGCTTTCCATTTTCCTCTTTTACCTTCATTATATCATTATTATCTCTCTGCCCCTTTCATTATAACCTAAATCTACCTTATTATTTTCCTGTTTAGCTTTCTGATTCTCTTTCCATCTCTCTACCCAGCTCGCTGTCCCTTAAGTGGCTTCATGCTGTGATTAATGGTCTCTTACCTGGAACGGCCTAACTAGAGACAGACTCCGAGACGTGCTGGTGGACATGGAAACATCACACACATAACAGCCTCCTAGGTTCATTTAGGATAGGTCACATGAGTTGTCTCTGTAGCTTTGGACACCTTAGTCCAGCAGTGGAAGTCCTGCAGGGGCTCCGGTCCAGATGAGATGACAGCCCCTCAGTGGAAGAGAATCCTCCCCAGGCCAACAAACCTTCTGTCCTCCCTGAGCCGCCTTAAAGTCTCCTCCCTCCTCAGTCTGCAGGACACGGGCTGATAAAACCATCACATCTTCTTCAACAGAGACAATAGAGCATGAGATATTCGTACGGTATATACATGCGAGACAGCCGGGCAGAAAAAGCAGACAGGGCTTTTCTGACTGTCACAGCGAGTGAGTGTTTATATTTAGGTGCGCGGCTAATCCATTATGAAGCGGAAAACCACCAGAAACATTCTGAAGTAACTCCTGGCTGGAAGAAGCGTCTCCAAAAACTGAGCCGTTTAGGAGTTTTCAGCTTTTACGAGCTCGTGTTTATGTGCGTACACATTGTATGCACACGCTGGGCTGGCGTGTTTGTGTGAGTGGGAGCACGCGTGTGTTTGAGTTTCTCAGCGTGAATGTGTATCTGTGCGTATTTATAATTGTCTGTTTGGCAAAGGGGCTTCGCTATAAAACCATATCTGTCCAGAAAATCTAAAGTTGAGTGTTCCCAGTAAAAACATCAGGCTAAATCAGTGCAGCCACTTTAGCCCTGCTGCCGTGAGGGCACCATCAGCCAGGACCCACACAGCTGAAACCAGAAAGCCTCCGAGGGACCACCGCAGAGAGATACCTGGGCTCTATCTATGAATACTGGAGCCCCTGGTATGCAGTATTTACCCCCAACCAGATAAAAATATGCTATATTGCTATTCCTCACAGTTAGCGCGTGGTTTTATTCTTTACACTGGACAGCTGATTTGCATGTTGACTTGGAAAACTCTCCATCCCCTGGAGGATTTGTGTGCAAGCCTCCACGTTGGACAGCAAAGATTTGATGCAGCTCACTAATCTAGTCCAGATGAGACATACGTTATTTTCTCAGGTATTTCACTAAGTAAAATGCAAACATCTAACCTAGCACCCATCCATAGTATGCTGTGTGCTGTCTCCATAAACGTGTCCACAGGATGTTTTTCTATGCAGAAAGCCTTCACACCTCACTGTACTAATGCTCTTCTCAGAAACACAGATTCAGGCTTGCAGGATTTCACAGGTCAAGAATTTAAAGAACCAGTCCTGTCAGCTTGAAGGATCTCTGTATCTTTATTCTCCTTCAGA